AATTCGGATCATTTTCCATATATTTCATTGTCATTTTTTTCTTTACATATTTTATTGTTATCGATTTATCTCTCCTCATATTAGTGTAAAATTAACATGTTTATTTCCATACTGCACTGTTCTCAACAGTTGAGTGGTCTCGAGATTTCACTTAAAACACTACTTTAAACTGTTTAGTGCACAATACCATAGCAATACGTCTTTTATTCATTTAAACTTATCAATTGTTTTTGTCACTCAACTTTTTCGTAACTCCACATTATTATATAACTCGATAAATGTACCTTCTTTGCACACATATACAGTAATCATTCTCTCGTAAATTCTGTTGTTAATTTTTAATTCGTTTCTCGGATTATTCTCTTCATTGTTATATCGAAACTAGTGAAAGAGTATCGCTCCAATGTCGTCAGCGTAGCGTTATTATTATTTTCATTGTTAGCAATACTACCTTTTGAATATGTCCGAATATTTTCATAAATTTTTCCATTTTATCACCCTAATCAGTGATAAAAATGATTTTGGTAGATTATTTTGACAATGAAAATGGTTTCTTGTTTACAGTTGTTTGTTATATGCATTTGTTTTTTTTTTTACCAAACATGATTACTACGTAAGATTTCGCCAATAAAAGTTTCGTAAAAATTTCATAACTGTTCTATTCTACACTTACACGTTTTGTACAATACCTAAAGAGAAAAAGTACTGGAATATTCATTTTACAGTAATTTGTTCACTAGTTGCAAGACGTTTATTTGCTGCAGTTATCACTGAATTACGTTCGTTATCGATCACAGTATATTACTATGTTTAACATAGTCCAGATAACCTGGTAGGATTAAGCTAGTATACAGAAGATTCAATGAGACCTTATAGTTGGCAAGGATATAATTGGTTATTAAACATATATTGTTAACTACATTGTGACATTAATCACATATTTTTTGACTGTCCTAAATCTCTTTTTTTTTAATTGTAAACGTTCAGCATTATTTATTCGCATTTACTGATTGTTTTTAAAACAGCTTTTGTGAAACAATTGAATTAATGTCGTTAAATGATTAAAGGTAATTTTGGCCATACACTTTTAATGAATTAAACCGTAGGAACTACATTTCATCATTTGATGCTTATCAATTAGGTTTAAATCTTAGTAGTTTAAACACTGCTTACAACCATTGGTTAGCAGGATTAAATCTTGAGTATTCATTTAAAATGCCTGGTGTATTCATCAGTCCTTATACAATAAGTGCATGAATTTAACCGCTGTACACCAACCTTCAAGTATGTTAAATGAATTAAAAATTTTTTTACTAAAGAAGATTTTGCCCTTGAATCCAGTTAATAAAATATTGCATTATTAGATTTCGATAGTTTTCATTTCTACCCATTCATATATAGTCTCCATTTGTTCAGGTTTAACTGTATGTTTTATTATTATTATTATTATTAATGGCTTTATTCAATGTTATATTTTGGTACAATATAGAATTTTCAGCACAGGGTATTTCAACAAGTTACTTATGCAAACAAAAATAGTAACAAAGACGAAAAAAAAGTTTTTAAAAAAAATCTGAAAAACAGTACAACATTTAAAATTTAAGTCATGTTAAGAATGCAGGTTATTGGCTAGATTAACTCTAACAACCTGTTCGTCACAGAGTATATTTGCTAGATAAGGTATTATAGAACATTTGTACTTTTCCTTGCGTGCATGGATTTTAATGTAATTACGTCTCGTTCTACCAGAAGATATACAAAGAGAAAGATAAGAGTGAAGGGGATGGCTAGTATCTGATAAAATGACACCTGCCAGGAGTTTGCATGATTTTAAATGTCTATCCACAACCATATTAATTATGACCTCGAAAGATTCACCACACACCTTGCTAACTGCCTTCAGCACTCTTCGCAATACAGCAAAGTCTTTTCTCAAAAGCCCGGGAAAGAATAATGGAGAACAGTAAAGAATAATAGGTAGTATGCAAGAATTGACAAATTGTAAGAGTAAATGACGAGTAATTCCAAGAGCATGCAATCTCTTTATGTAATAGGTCAGACGGAAAACCTTCTTCGATAACGATAAAACGTGAGAAGACCAAGACAGATCAGAGGAAAAGGTGACACCAAGATAATTGACCTTCGACACTGAGTTTATCAAAGAGTCTCCGATGGTACAAGCACTATGGGATCTCAAAATAGTGTTTATATTCCGTTTATGTCTCATGCTAAAGTTAACAGCTTGACATTTAGACGGATTAAGTATGAGACCATTATCAACAGACTAACAATCAATACGAGACAAAAACTCATTCATTTCTATGGGATGTAAAGAGGAAGATATAGGCATACATACAGTGAGGTCATCCGCATACTTCACAAAAGTGTTTTCTGTGGAAGATGGCAGGTCATGCAGAAAAAAATAGAATAGAAGAGGTGAAAGAACAGCTCCTTGTGGTACACCTTCATGAGACAGTAGAGACTCTGAACACTTTCCTCCAAACACAGTGTATTGTTCCCTTCCAGAGAGGTAGGAACATAGCCAGTTGGTTATCCAGCTGTCAGTGTTGACGCTGATTAACTTGTTAAGTAAACGTTGTCTTGGTATAGAGTCAAAAGCTGAAGTATAGTCCAGAAAAGTACATCAAACATACTTCTTACCCTTTTCTAAGTTGAACACTATGTTGTGATGCAGAACTGCAACAGCATCTAAAGTGCTTCTTTTGCGCCTGTATGCAAACTGGTATGGGTCAGTATGCTCTTTTATCGCAGGCTGAAGTGGAAGAATTAATAATTTTTCCATGGTTTTGAGGAAGGGTGAAGTTATTGCAATAGGTCTAAATTTTACATTCTTATCACCAAATGCTTTCTTGGGTACAGGAATTATCTTCATCTTTCTTCATATTTTTGGTATGAGATTAGATGAGAAGGATCTGTTAAATATAGTTGTGAACGGATGACACAGAACGTCAGCACATTTTTTAAAAAGGATGTTTGGGATACCATCAGGTCCCAAACATCGAGATGAATTAAGCGACTGGAGACATCCTCGTACATCAGTTTCAGTGAAAGTAGGAACACAGCTAGTTTTTAAACCCGTGGATAGAGAGAGCATCACATCAGATGACTGACGTACAAAAGACTTATTTAAGTCACAAACATTCAGCTGGTTATCGATTCTAAACTTTCTGTCACCTGTAAGTTCTTTGAAGAATTTCCACATACTTGGAGAGTTTTTGCAAGATAAGAGCTTTTGAGTAAACATACAGTTGAGACGTCTAATCTCTAGGTTTATCAGACCATTTAGCTTACGAACTTCATTAGAGTTCTCCTTGTACATGCTTTCTTTCATCCTTCGTAGTCGTTTTAGTTGTGAAGATGTAAGTCGATCAAAACTTACAAAAATGGTTTCGGTGGGACAACAAATATCAAAACAGAATTTAAGGTAACAAGTGATAACATCAGTATTGTTTTCGAGTGAGTCATCTGTAAATAATTCCCAGTTAGTCGTATGAAACATGTTTTTCAGATTTCGGATATTTTCTGTGTAATTCCTATATTTGACTTTTCTGGTTTGACGTAGGAGTGTACTCTTCCCATGCTTTCCATATACTTTAGGTAGAACACGAATTATACAGTGATCTGAGCTAGACAATGGAGCACGTTTACGAGTCGCATATATACCCACATCATTAATGAAGACGAAGTCTAGATGAGCATCAAGACGGGTAGGAAAATCTACTACATTTTGGTGACCTAGTGACGTAAGGAAGCTACAGTCACATGAATTGAAATCACCACATACAACTGAAAGTGAATCACTGAAGGCAGTAACAGCGAACTCAGTGAATTCATCAGCAAAAACAGATAGTGCAGATGATGTGCAATCTGGAGTCACGTAGATATTGGTCACATAAACATATTTGTATTTATTCAGATGTTTTGGACGACATCTTAGAGTTAGACAGTCGATAAAGTCATTTGAAAACTTAAAACACGCAAACGAAGATCGACACCAGTTTATGTTTACAAACGTAGCTACACCGCCACCACACCTCTTTTTATTGTTCGATCGATCCTGACGATAAATTTTAAAATCACGTAGTGATACAAGGCAGTCATCCTGTAAATCATTCAACCAAGATTCTTGAACTGTGATGACACCACAATTACGATACGTATTTTGACTAAGTAAGAATTGCAGATAGTCCACTTTGTTGATTAGCGATCGGCAGTTAGAATTTAGTAGCTCGGGAATTGACATATGATTAATGTTCATTCTCTTTAACGCATATTGCCAACCACCACGATGCCTTTTATAGTACTTTTTCGTAACTTGTGCAGCGGAAGGTCGTAGGCTTTTCATAAAAGCGCCTGAATAGGTTATGCGATTAATGGACATAATTATAAATTAAAACAAATGAAAAACAGATAACTTGTTGAAATAATCAGATGGCAGAAACAGGTAGCCCAGATATTCAAGCAGGCCGCCAAGGAGATTCGACTTGCTTGATCATTCTAATTCTTGCTAATTTTATTGAGACCAGGAACCAATCTAAGCTTGACAACCATTGAAGACCTGGAAGCACTGGACTGTCGATTCGTTTCATCAACGTGTGTTGACAACGCTGCAACCGGGAATTGAATCTATAATAATGAAAGTTGGTCGTGTATTATCCTGCGTTGATTGAAGTTAGACTTGTACATTATTGAATCCCAATCCAGTGGTCTTGAGGTTAAGCTTTTACGTGTGAGGCTGACGGCCCTGGATCCAAGTCCCAGTTGTGAGGTCGTAGTTGCGTACTACTAAGGAGTCTGATACTAGGTTAAAACGGTCTTCTCGTGCTTCCTGATTTCTAATGGTTTCCTAATTTAAATTGACCTATGATCTCAATTGAATTCAGCGATCTTCATAACATATTGTTGATATTTTTATTAGTATCTTGATGCACTGAAAAACCTAAAGAACGATAAACGCAAGAAATGATTTATATTCAGTCTGAGAATCAATAAAAATTAGAAAAACTCGTAAATATCTGCTTTTATTTAGTCATTTGTTTCCTTAAACCGGTTTTTATTCACATGACTATTGATTGTAACAGACTGCCATAATTGCAAAAAATGATAATATGATTTGTTGTAACCCGTCAATTGCGTAATAAATACGCTTTTATTCTATTTTGTTTTTTTAGTTTTACGTAACTAGGCGCATTTTTTTAGGAAATGTGTAGAAATATTCACGTAATGAAACTGAAATACTGTGCATTGTTGTTTAGATAAATTCAATGGAAATATCCTTTTTTGTAAAAGTAGACAAAAGCAAACAATTTATTTACATATACATCTTTCCAATAAACTAACTATAATACAGTGAATTATTTTCTGAATGGTATGTTTCTTCCCAAATAAATAATTCTTTACCATAAGCGGCTGCAATGTATATTTTATTCTTTTCTTGTATAATGATTGATTTGATAAGTGGAAAAGATGATACATAATGTTGATTATCTTTCATACATGCATTATGTACATACTGTGGTCCAATAATTTTTTTAGATTTGATTTGTAAACCGTTAGAATAGAAGTTTAACAATTGGATTTCAGTTTGATATTTATTTAATGATGATCGTGTCAGTGTAATTAACTGTAAATATGATAATGTTAAGTGATAAGTTTTAGTATTTGCAGAAGGAAGTATAAATACCGGGTTAATTGATTCCACTTTACCAGTTATCTGTAAACATGATGATGATGATGATTCTGGTTGGGTTTTAATCAAATCATCAATTGAATATATCCATAAGTTTGTAATTTCTGTTATTTCATTCGTTGCGTATATCATAATAAAAGGATTGTCGATTTTCTCATGAATTTCTTCATCGTCTGTATAAAAAAGCAAATAGAAGGAAAATAAATAGATTCACCATCGGAAATATAATTTATTAAACGTTAAGAAAAACTTCCTTCAGGCCGAACAAATTAACACCCAGGTGGTACCCGTTAACATCCACATTGGTGAGGGGATGTTTCAGAAGGTTTCCTGTAAGACCTACACTCAGTCAATCATCAGAAACAAGAAGGTTCTAAACAACTTAGAACTGGGTAAAACTGAGCCATCCCGAAAGGACAGCCGGTGGGATTCTCACTCAGAAAAAGAAAGACAATAGCCCTCCCTCACCCCAGCCGATAGGCGTTACCCTGATGTGTTCCACTCAAGCTACTGGAGGCCCACAGGCACTGCATAGGACTTTGGCGACACTTAGCCACAGAACATCGTGTTTCTAGCAGGAACCACGAAGGGGTAGTCTTCACGCAACTATAACACCCTAAAAGACCAAAAACTATTATTTAGTTATACAGAGAATCTAATTAATGCGCTTCTTCACTTTTGGGTCAGCGATTCAAGGCTGTATTAGCTCTCGACACGGTCACTGGCGGCCTAAAGAGTCATAGTTGATAAATTATGGGGAAGACAATTGGTAACATGGTCTATCTTTTATAATATTTGTGCGTTTTTTCACTAAAAGTATGTATCGGATTGTTAATGAGTTTTAGTCATCTCATTAAAACCATTGTATAAGGCAGATTCTTGGAAATACACTATTTTCTTGTTATCGAGAAAAGAGACAATCGTTCATTTCTGTATTTTAATTAAATTGTAATATATTGTCAATACTACATTTGCTTCCAATAGTTTTATAAACTTACCATGGATATACATTGAAATGGGAGAAATATTCAATTAAATAAAAGTGTCGGAGTATAAACCAGACTTACTTATGAGTTCGAAAATTCTGTTTGCCAGATTACAATATGCCGTATATGGAATTCTTGTGTTCTGACGACGATAAACAATATGGATGGTTTTTTGATTTGCGTATTTAATGTATACTAATTTTTGATGGTTGTCAGTGAAATGAATTAAGCTTCACAGTCAAAAGTGCAAGTCATTTTTATACTCATAAGAAACCATCAATTACCCTTCAATTATTTGCTTTCAGACTTCAGGAAATTAATATCTCAGGTAACTTTTGGTTTAAGGTTGTGCAATATATCCTAGATTTATTTGTTCCTTTTCCCAAGTAATTGCTTAGATTTAATAATACTTTTGATATTAAGATTTCAATGAGGAACGATTTTTTAAAATCGAATCTCTGCTAAATATATCGACTGTATAGAGTTTTGTTCTATTGTGACTAGTTTGTTACTTTGTAAAATATGTTACTAAGTGTAAATTATGAGGGGAATCAACTTACAGTTCTTTACACATATCGTTTCTGAGATATTGGACTTAGCTGTAATATACGAATATTTAGTCTTCCTGTTATTGAGTGGCAGATCATCCGTTTATTCGAAGTAAAATTTATTCATAACAGTTTTTTATATTGTTTTAATGTAAAATCCATTTGTATTCCCACTACTACAGTTATGTATGATATTTGTTGGCTAATCATCCAACAACACTAATATCCATGTACGAATGAGTGTATTCGGTTAAAAAAGTCATTTTTTCGGAAATGATTGAAATCTTCTGTGATTATTTTCTGTCATGTTCCTTAGTTTGCACAAATTTTGTTTTAAGTTCAATGTCTTAGTTATATCACTTTCTTTCCTCATTTATAAAGTTACCTCATATTTCTTTTGTCTTTCGTAATCGTTTTAAGCTACTAGAAATTTCTATGCTGAAATATCAAGTGTTTAATTGATACATAACATACTTTATTGGTTAGTTCCAACACAAGCAGAGCATACTGATGTTATAACTTAAGTGTATTGTAGCTTTTAGAAAACTGTAAATAAAGTTAAGCCATATTCATTAATTTGTATAAATATAAAATGGAAATTTTGAAAATCTTCATTCGATAAATTATACATACTACTTACAGCTTATTAATTTCAGAACGTCTTTCAGATTTTGAGTTGGTAAAAAGTTGGCGTGATAAGACAGTTCAGCATGCTCATTTTTATCATCACTATTATTATTATTATTATTATTATTATTATTATTATTATTAAATTCCAGCGATTCCAATGGTAACCAAGCAAGAAGATAAAATCGCAGTGGATTATGATGATAAGGATTTGCACAGATTGATAAATTCCATACACTTAAACGATTCTCTGCTCCAATTGCAAGGCATATCCAACTTGTATTATGAAGAAAAATGATTCCGAAAGAAACATGTAACAAGAGATAGTTCAATTAATAAATATGCATATATATGAAGTATTAGATGTAGGCAGAAAAAACATTTCGCGACAATTCATAAAGGAATACTTTTTTGACCTATTGAAACTAATATAATTGTTGCCAGAATTGAATGGTGGCTAGCAGTTCAATCCAGGACGCGCGCTTCGTCAGCTGGATGTACCTCGATCCCAAAGTTGATTTCCACTATCTGAACTCAGTAGCCAAGTGGATGACGCGACGGTGTTTGAAGCGGACGGTATTGGATTTGAATCCCGTAATGTACATAAGCTGGGATCCAGGTACACCCAGTTGACGATTCGCGAATGGGACGAAGTCTGCGTCCGGGAATCCACCACCTATCTCCGCTTATAATGTTTGTAACTTAAAGCAACATCGAGACAGTTCGCACAGAACGTACATATGCCAATAAGAGACTGGTTGATTGCAGTCCTAAACGTCGATTGGAAGATTTAAACAACCAATACAAAAATTAATCAATATAATTGTAGCTATAATTATTGCATGTATGTAGTTGATTATTGCAAAAAAAATAGACTAACAACATTGTTTTTCTAAAGGATCATGTGCAAAAGTGTTGTCAACCTGAATTTCAAAAAACACCTTAAGCTATTCAGATAAGTCTTCATTCACGGAGCTAAGTAACTATTCACTGGAATTATTTTGCATTTCATTTTCAAAAATAAGGTTGTTTAAGATCCAGTATTAGTGTCATGCTTTAAAAAATAAAACCATACTATTGTACAATTTTGAAAGTCTTGTGAACAAACAAATGCTCTTTCTATGTTTTTTTGAAAAGTACTTGCTAAATCTTGATTAGGCCATAAATATGATTTGTTTTTATGATGGCTGTTTTCATATTAAAATAGAAAATTTGTAAACTATATTTAGACTGTAAAAAAAGAGTTAATTGAATCAAATTACTAATTCATTCTGGAAAACTAAACGAACTGTAGCTATCACATATCTCATACTTTTACTTCTGTAGTGAATTTAGACTTAATACAACTGAGCGTGAATATGAGGTTCCATTTGTTAATAAGTTACTGCTTTTTCGCATCAAATAAACATCTTTTTACAAGTTAGTACAAATTTATCTATTATGAAGAATCTATTTCGGCACTGTTAATAAACTCAAACACTTCTAACCATACCACTGCCCATACCAATTGTTGTTCGAGGCGAAATGTTAGAAATCCTATTATCTAGACGTTTGGATAGTAATAAGCATAACATCTTTATACTTAAACGAAATATCCTACGCTAGATTTATGTGAAGTTACTATATTAAATATAGATTGTTTTATTGTTTCTGTGTGCATAAACTTGTTCTGTTATTACAACAGGAAACCGTTTAACATTACATTGTGGAATAATACATATTAACTAGCTTTGCCATTTGTAGCTGAGTATTACGAAGGGGAATATATTAACCTTTATGATAGTGCTACATCTTTGAAGAGACAGCAATAACTTTTACGACAATTTCGAAACTATATGCAACTGCTCTCTTCTACTCCAATCCTGAATGTTCCAAAGGACAAATATTGTAAAATAGTTACTGGATGAGGTCAAAGAATGTTGATTTACATCTACATGACTCAATTGATTGTTACACAAAGGTCAATTTGTGAAGTAAACTACCAACTTTCTGTTCTTGTGTTTAAAGATGTGGATAATTAAAGATAGTTAAGATAAAAATCAGGTAAGAGGCTTTTTGTTCCTTCAAAACAAATAATTGATGTATCCCATTCTTCTGTGAGTAGGTAAAACTAAATAAATATAGAATTTTTATGGAAATATTTTTGCCTAGTTCATCAAATTAAAAGCATCGAGATACAGTGCGGAGACTATAGTTATTTCTTTCTCATTTCACTATTTAAATTTATCAAAGAAACTAACTTTTAAGAAGACCTAATTACTTAGTCTAGGACATGTGACACATTGTATTATGTGACCGATGAATTAAGAAATCTAACAAGACTTTTATAGTATTGATCATCAAGCTATTAAAAAAAATTTTAGTTTGCCAGTCGTGCTTGAGATGAATCTAGATCGATTTAAATGATGACATCTCAGATCAACATACTCGAAACAAATTAACAAGATAAAGAGTATCGAAAGGAAAGTAACAATATTCTTTTTCATATAGAATCTCATGATTCAGAAAAAGACAAGGAATGAGTGCAATATTATCACTGCAATCAGTTAGGATTCTTATCATTGGCACATTTAGCATAATTAAATAAAAGTTAGCTTTTAAAAGTAAATATCAGTAAGTGTTAGGTTACTTAGTTGATTGATTGTTTTAATACACGTAGTTTAGTCAATATTTCCTCTACTGTTAAGTAATAAGAACAAATTTTATAAACTCACGACTCTGATTGGTTTTGTTCATTCATGTCGGACTTTATTATTGAATCCATGGTTTGTTTGCTATCTTGTTTCAGTTGATGTAAATAATAATCATACAACAAAGGTTGTGAATAAGTATTCAAGCATAGAATAGGCATAGGGATTTGATAATTGACCAGGTAATCTTTTATAATACGTTTGATTAAAATAGGCTGTGAATATAGCTTATCATCAGTATTATTATTCTCGGTATTATAACCTATAGATAACAGGACCAGTAAACCATTTCTAGTCCCAATAATTAAATAATATGGACTAAAAAATCTGATTACAGTAATCTGATCATCCAACTGTGGAAATATTCGTTCAGATTCACTGACTAGACACATCTATAAACGAGAATTTAACCCATTAAAGCAAAGCGTTAGTCGTATTCTAAAAAATGTTTATAATTTACGATTTCATACGTATTCAAAAAGTATAAAAAGTTCAACAGTATATCATGATCTTGGATATTTGTAATAGACCTTTTATTGTCGCACTTTTTTCCTCAGATGACTATGATTTTTTTAAAAACTTGAAAAGCAAAATCTTAAATTACACCTCTTAAATTATGAATTACATCCCCTTATTTTTGCAGTACATTAGAAAGCTAAAGATAGCTGGAACAAAACTTGGCATTAGTCCATAGAGTTACTGACTGTTGGATTAAGCCTTGTTAGTAGCTGAGGACTATCTGGTTGGGATGCTCCTGATTATCGTCACAAATAGTTGGAAACGTTGGATGATATGGCATAGAATCAGTCTCAGTGGTCCGGACACATCCATATGTTGTCTTCCCCTAGATTTTGAGATTTAGAATTAACGTATGCTGTTTTGTTGAACAAATTTATTCCCTATTCTTGAATCACATTATATATGCTTAATGTTTTTACTACTAGTTATCCTGTTATTACTTCTACTATTTTGGGATTCGTCTTGATAATTCAGTCTTGCTGTGTTGACATGGTATAGCAACTTCGACTTGTGGATATGTGCATTTCGTTCTGTGTTGCCTGTCACTGACTGAATCATCAATTTACAAAACTCATAAGAAGTAACTATTTTTTTCCGTCACTTATCGAACAGTCACATTATTTTCAAAGATTGAAATCGAAATTCAAGAACCGAGAGTTATCTACTAAAATTTATTTCTCAGAAAATCATAAATCCCTAATTGTATCTGTTGAAATTTGTAAACTAAATCAATCATGAACACGATATTTCAAGAATATTATCTTTATAGGTTAATTACGTTCGTCATTGAGATGTGTATAAAATCATGATAATCATTCTTTAACTCTCGATCACGCAACGATTCTGTAATTGAAACAGCGGATTTGAAAATTACACTTTCATAGTTCTATTGGACTGGCATTGATACTTTTTGCATAATTCAACTTATTAAACAAACCTATAAGCTGTTGGAAAATATCTCTTAACCGATTATGAATCTAAACAGACACATGATTCATCAGTTCAAAACTCATTTAAGATCTTTCAGATCAACCATCTTACACGTAGAGCCTTGGATAAATGTGAGTTGGCCCACTTTGCTATGTCACATTAGCACGTATGATACAAACAAGCTGAATTTAAAACGCTATTGAAATAATGTAGTAGCAATGATAATAAGATAAACCGAAAATTGAGAATATCATTAGAATAGGCTGAAAAAGTATTTATAAATAAATATTCAAATTCAAGAAGCAGAAAGGTGAAGAGTGAATACTTCTGAGTCATTGCTAGCGATTTTAAGCATAATCGTTCTACTTCTTCAATCCCTGGTCGCAGTTATCGCGCAGACCACAACCGTGTAGCTTGGGCTTACCAACATAACTCAGACCAACAGCTTCATGGACTGATACGATGTCATGGCTTGAAAGTTTATCTCTCTATACTACCGAAGATTAACTGTAGAAGTAGGGAGTGATTGTGCATACCTGACGCGTTTCCTAACTACCAAAGTGGATGAAGATGCAAAATTTCATCGACTGATTTTTTACTTTGCCTATAACCTTAAGTCTAACCTCAACATCGTTCACTCGATAGCCTATACAATCACGAGGAAAGTTTTGGGGATAACTATAAGTAAAAATCTAAAGCTTACACGTGTTTTTAACTTTCTAAAACCATGATTCACATGCATAAAGTAACCCAGAGCGAATCGCTGCTCAGTATACGCCCCCTTGGTTGGAGATGGACAGTCCTCCTACTCCACAAGTGACGCATTTTGGTGAAAGACCTGAATACGTGCTGGGATCCTGTCAGATACCAGCCTACCCGAGCTGATATGACTTTTCATTCAAGTTCGAGAGAGAAAAGTCTGACTCAAAAATTGTGTGATTGTTTATTTTAGCCTACAGTAATATTATATGTACATAGAATCAAAATAGTTTGATCAATATAATACTCTTTTGGTGTTGGGAGTTTACATGCGAATAATAGGTACCTTTGCTGTTACAAATAGCACCTATATTGATTTGAGGAAAGTGTGTCAGCCATCTTGTAAATAAACCTGTTGATCTCGAAATTCAGAAATTTCTTAACTGAACAACGTGGTCAAAACGGCTTGTCATAAGAAAAGTGGCTAACTTGAAAGCAATATTTACAAGACTCCAAGTACAACTTACTAACAATCACAAAAATGCATAAGACCAAAGTTTTCTGTATCAACCAATCATCTCCACTTGCTCAACAATAAATAAACTGACTTGGTTTTTCATGTAGAATGACATATGTTTTAGATACACATACGGCAAAACTGCCTGTGCGCATACTTTAGAGACCACAAGTTATTCTAATTTACCTTTATTTAACGTGAGTTGTAAATAGTTGACCATAAAAGGAAACACTCCTTATTCTATTAAAGAAAAGATTTAACGTTTGATATCTCATGAATGAACTTTATAATCCTTAGATCTCATACTGATTGCATCATTGTTTATTCCATTGGTAAATATCATACAGACAATACTAAATTTCTAATTAATCTATAATTTGTTCAACTTTCCGTCTTGGATTATTAAACAGGGTCTTGGCATCAAAACATCACTTTTATTTTACTGCTCGATGACGGTTTGTTCGTCTTTATGTAGACCTGAGCTCAGGTTGAATTATTGAAGGTACAAACCATGAGTTCAGTGAATAATTCTAATCTGCAATGAAACAGTTGTTTCATATATTAAAACATATTGTTTTAGTTCTTAAAAGAATACCTTTCTATGATAAGTACTGGTTAATGTAAATTCATTTGTTATAGTGAATCCTGCTTTTATAAATAATGATCATGCCGTTTATTTAAAAAGAAATAAAATATCTATGAAATATTTAATATTCGTTACCTTATGCAAACAAAATAATCGTACACATGTATCAGTATAAGCAATAGCTAAACATCCTGGTGATTTTTTATTATTACTATCTTCCTTGAATGAAAGCGTCTCATTGACGCCAGCTGCTTCTGATCCAGAACATATTATACCGGGATAGTCTAACAAACATAAATCAACTGTTGATCCGTTTAAACTATTCGCTGACTCATTAGTCTAAAAGGTTAAAAAGAAATGAACCATTTTATGACTTCATAATTTATGTCTATACTTAAAAATGTTTATATGTTCAAGAACATTTGATATTTAAGAAAAAGGTAGTAATGATGATTTAAATATGTGTTTAGTTTTTTTTTCGATTACTTTTTCAGATCTTATAACAAGTAAGAATAGCAACTTTCGCCCAAGTGAACTTAACGTTTGTTTTAAAGAGAAGACATACGATTTTTAATCCAATGCAGTGAAGCAGGAACAATGCCATATCTCTGGCTTATAGAGTAGGCACATTTAAATGTTTCGGTTGTGGAAACTAAAATCTGATGGGGTTACTGAATTGGTAATGATGTCCAATTAGTAAAGTGTAAGTCCAATAACCTGAAAACCACCAGTCTAAATTTAATTGGATTTATTTTGAACTTCAATTATCTTTCTGACACTATAGTAGCATAGTCCGTCTAAAAGTTGAAGTGATGATGTTTATTGACAATAAAGCAGTGAAATATCAGTTCGCACTGAGATGTAAATATAATAATATTATAATCAAAGGTTGACTAGCATCTATATTAAAGGAAACTGACAAGCAGCTTATTGAATAATAAATCGTGCTACTTTTAGTTGAAAAATTCAACGGGTAAATTATAAAACACTCATGACAAATTATGTCTACGAAGTTCATAGACGTTTAGAATTTTGAACGAATCGTCCTACGGTATCAAATACATTTAACGATTAACTATGTTTATTTGATTTTTTGTTCACAATGTGATGAACACATTATAAATATAAATGTAAATTATATGACGCTACAAATTACAATTGTTTAGTTTATTCATTTTCTTATGACTGCTAAATCAACGGAATCCAAAAAACCGACAGTAAACCCTAGACTTGAGTTAGTACTAAACATAAATACGTAACTGAATCCTCAAAAAAATTGATATTTTTGTGTGATTCGAACCCACGTTACTCAAATAGCTCACACCATCTAAGATGATGAAGTCCAACAACCTAACATTTCAACATAATTCACGAAATTTCAAATTACTTAGACTAGTGACCATATTCTAGATTGGTCGATTGAATTTGGTTAGCATGATAAGACTAAATAAACATGCCATCGGTCACTATTGAGTTATGGATTACTTTTTGACATTTGTTCTTATTTAATATACCAGTAGTGAGGAAATTCACCTTTTGTATGTATTTATATCAAAGAATTAATTCAGATTTTGGCCCACAGTAACTATCTATAGCTTATCATGATCTAATTTAAAATTAGAATCTATAAATCAAATTACTCTTCATTAATAGATCTTGAAATTGATTGATTAATTTCAACTTATTGTTGGATGGTGACTAACGGTGGAATTCATGATGCACGTTTCGTCCTATTTGGAACTCGTCAGGTGAATGTATCTGTATCCCATACAAAATGAATTATTGAATTGTGTTTAAACATAAAGGTTCATATCTACACCATTAATGAAAGTAGAACAAAGATACTTAATAAACTGGCAATCTACTGTTAACCAAATAATAAACGATGTTTCGTTTAAAAACTTTTAGTAAAAAATATATTATGAACATGAAACAATTTTCAACGAAAAATTGAACAAAACCCAAATATAAATTATCATCTGATGAAATAACCTTTAATTCAGAAACTAAATGACAAGTTTCCGGACTCCATAATTGTATATTTCCATCTGATGTACAAGTAATCAGAATATCATTCATATGACTGAAATCATTGTTATCTAGAAAGTTTTCATTAAATAATTGTTGTTGAGATTTTGTCCACCAAATTAATCCAATAATTTGTGTTTTATATCCACTACTTAAAAGTGTTAAATAATCTTGCATTTTTGATAGCGAATGATTTACAGATGAAATTTTTCGATTTGTTGATTCTTCAACTTCAGACCAATCTACATACCTTGAGAATATCATAAAGTAAAAGAATTTGTAGATGTATATCAAATGAATTAATTTACAGAATACGTATTTTATAATAACTTATCATTTTTATGCATGTATTGAATAGCATCTTATTTTCAAGATTTATCAGCTTGACAATTTTGTTTCCGTTGACATTTTAGCCAAGAAACAACCTACCCAAATGATAGATCCATATTCCTAAACAAGATATTCAGACAATATTCCAAGCATTGTTAAGCTGAAGGAGGCTAATCGTCTGAATCCTACAGAATGCCAATAAAAAAAGTTTAGACACTATTGATAAATATTTGTTAGGTGTGATTGTTCGGCAGCTATACATCATTGTCTGACAATGATTTAGTCATTCAGCACTGAACAAACTAGGACAAATGTAGGTATCATTACCAAGGTTTGATTTGATAAATTCGAATAAATTGAGCATTAGGTAGATTGTTATAAATAAATAAATAATATATTTGTAATATCCCAATGAGTAGAGAAATTAGATTTTCTGGCTTTTCGTGACTAAATGTAAGCCACTTCTTCAGAGAATAAATAACCAAATTAAAATTAATCCAAGTTTAAATAGTACAACGGGACAAAGGTATTAGATCAATGTTATGACTGCGTCGCCAATTGTTAGCTCCGTTCTTCCCTGACTTCTATGTCAAAATCGCTTATTACTTACACTTGTTAAAAGAGGAACCACTGCAATTCTCAAGACGCGAAGTAAAAACACCAAGTTTAGTACAAGTAAAGATTTATTAAACCCAAAACACGACGACGACCCTATTCGGAAATGCACTCATTAATATATAGATTGTACACCCATTTTGTCTACTAATTAAGGCAATGTCACATATATGAAAAAATACCTAGAATTATGACAAATCACATGCTGTGTGTCATGCTCAGTATAGTTTGGGTTAATTTAATACGAAAAATCTTGTTTCATAAACAAACATTACACTCAAACAAATTGGTGTTATGACAAATCACTTATCATACGGGAAAACAAAGTAAATGCTACACTGAATAATTATCACGTTGAATTAAAACAGAAGTAATGTTGAACAAAAAGTCACAGTCAGTAAAAGAATGTAATTTCGCCCTTTCATCCCGTCATATCAGTTAATCTACCAAAATTTCTAACACCACAATGAAAGGAATTTTGCAGACTTTTATGCGTATTAGTTATATTGGGCAAATAATTTATGAACAAATAACTTAGGAGTAAATTCTGATTATGAGAACTGACTTGAGAGAACAATATCAAGTTATTAATATAAGTAGAATAGAATTAATAAAATAATTAGTTTATTGGTGTATGTGTTGAGAGGGCTTATGGAGATTGTCAATATTTGTGATTTTCCGCCACGAATTGACAATATTTACACAATTAATGAAAACCAAGAAGTAATGGACTATTTCGCCTTCGTATCAGAAATCATACCGAAGTTAGAGGCATGAAAAATTTTATATCATGTCAGTGATTTGAAGGTTAAGCGTTCGTAGCAAAACCTAAAGGTTCCGGGTTTGATCATTAGTAGGGTTGTGGACCCGTGATAACAAATAGTCTTGAACTATCTATATCAAAAACATCTTAAATGTTTTGTTAATCATTTGTATCCATAGGCAATTCAAACTGAATAGATAAAAGTTTGATTATAACTGTAATGAAGCTAATAAAATCAATAGCCAACAAGTTATAAAAAAAATTCAGAGGTAAACCGATGGTAATGTATTAACATCATAATACATGATAGTGATTACGATGTAAAAAATTATATTTTATAGGAAATTAAAAATTACCGATTTTAAGTTAAAAGATCACTAATAGACTGAACTATCACTGAATGATAGTTCCCGCTTTCTAATTTTGTATAGGTAAGGTGTATATATATATATATATATATAAAATTGTAGAAATATGTATATTTACATACCATACATTACAGTTACTTGTACTAATAACACCAATCTGTCCTTCTGCATCAAAGCATGCTGATAAAATTACTTCATTATCAAAATGATTAATATATTTAATCTGTTTTACTTCAATATTTTTAATCCCGTTACGACTAACATCACTATTGTTGTGGAATGAATAATGTTGATTGTTTGAAAGTTGTTCATTAATGGAAAATTCTATTTCTAATCGCCAAAAGCGTAGTGAACCGTTTACACTACCTGTAACAAAACCATATGAACCACTGGAGGAGATGACACTAATCTGGGGGAATAAAAATAAAACAAAATAACCGTGAAGATTGTAATCGATACAACGATTAGATTTTAATAAGTTACGCTTTTAAAAAATCAACAAAAAATCACTAGTTGAAATCATGAGTCAGTTGAAGCTAGAACACCATGGAAAACCTGGAAGCACTTGACGGCCGTTTCATCCTGGTACGGGACTCCTCAGCAGTGCGCATCCACGATCCCGCACCCCGTGAGACTCGAACCCAGGACCTACCAGCCTCGCGCCAGGCGCTTAACCAACTAGACCACTGAGCCGGCATCCAACGGTGTCAATGGCTAACTCCAACTGTTGAGTCGGCTTTCGGAGAACTTCAACGGAGCCTCCAGAGGCCCAAAAGGAGCCGAAGAGTCCTAGCCAATCAGAGCATGATGGAGCATTCTAGAATTCCAACGTGGCGTGCTACTATTGGTCAGTAGCATAATATGTCGCTAACGGATTGGCCAAAATATGATGTTGATTTAACAAACGTTAACATCTATAAATACCCATGTTTTCAGTACAATAACGAACCTTGGAGTAAAGTGCCTCTCTCATACTTTGCGTCTTCTTTCTAGTGTTCAGGTCGCTGTATAGTTCTAGCGTCCGGGTTATCAGAATAGCTTAGAAACGAATATAGCGTCCAATCGACAAGACTTAACACCAACCAATCCACGAAGTTGCGCCACCGTCCACCATTGTCTTCAGTGAGTTGATATCTCACAACAGACCTGGTTGAACTCCACTGGTAACGGCTTCTCACTAGAACTCCAGGAATATCTCTTGAAGTCAGTCACTAGTGAGCAGATGTTTATTATCAGAAGGGGTTTTGTGGAGACTTTTAGAAATTTTACTAGTTGAATATATATATATATATATAAATGCGTTGAAGTTTTATAGAGAAATAAACATGAATAAAAGGAAGACTTGATAATTACCATCAAAAAATGGTAGAGTAGGTTCTTAAGATTGATAGAAAGTAAAGATTTACAACACAAGGAAAATGATAAGACGGTGACAATTCTTCTAAATCGATAGCGTAGTTGGTTCAAAAAATAGATTAATGGATGAAGTTATTGTGAACATAAGCTATTATTGGAGAACAAGTGACATTGTCTTTTTGTTCTCTGGGTGCAGAACTCTATTTAAAAACTGCCAATAAACATATATACCGTTTGTAACAGAGTGATGACAGTTCCTTTCAAAATACAGTAAGATGCTAGAGGTCTTAAGATAGAGGAATTATAAAAAATTTAAATATAGACGCTGAAATTTAATAAAAGATCAGCGTATATGCATATATTTATAAAAACTAATGTGTTGACGAAAATAAGCACTTTAAAAAGCTGACTGAACTTTTTTTAAAGTACTGTCTGGTAACATAGTACTTGGAATAATTTGAATCAACTAAACTAGTGTAATCCAAATGAAAAGTGGCAATTTTATTGGGTCTATGAAACGTCATTATTGGTGTAATCAAACAATTCAGACGTAAACAATTTTATTTTTAGGTTGCTTGTAATAATGAAAGACGCTAATAATAGATGAATGGTAAGGATATTATTAGATAAGTATTATTATCAGGCAAGAAATCAAGGTCACACAATATTTTGAATTAATCCAAGTTAAACATTAACAATATTTGGTCCAAGGCTCAAGGTCGAATGTCTTAGGACGCAGGTTTTTTGGTGTGCACTTCTGAGGAGTCCCATACTAGGATTAAACGACCGTCCAATGCTTTCAGGGTTATGTTTATGGTGATCTAGCTTGGTATTATTTGTGATTCACACCATGAAGATTTAATTTCCTACTCATTGGGATATTAAAAATATGCTGTTGTTTTTATAAAATCATGAAATAAAACAATGAACTAATAAACTCTTAACTAACTTCACTACATTCTGCAGAGAAATTGTGCAAGCACATATGATTATTCACATCCCATATACTGATGTTTCCAAAGTTGTCTGATACAAGAATTAGTAAGGCCATCTTATGCATGGTGGTATAGTAATCGTATTTAGATGGAATTTTTAAATATGCTGCAGAACAGAACTCTGTATTGTACAGAAATTTATTTTGATTGAATGACCAATTTTTTCCTTTAGTATATGAAAGTACATCTCTTGCATTCACTAAATCTTTACTGTTTACATTGTTAATGTTAACACTTTCATTATTAATATGAGTGGAGTGGTTAACATCGAATTTCCAAAACAGAATAGAACTTTCATGATTTAATAACTTGACATTATCATTATCAATCTGATTTAGCTGAGCACCAATTGTAATAAACTCATTACCAAACAATGGAGAACATAATATCTGATTAAAATATTCATCAATATTAACTGTTGATAATAAGGTCCAATTGAGCACCGACCACAATTTAACTTCATTTGTGTGATAATCTTCAATTGTAATAAGATATCTGGAATCCATTGTAAATGTCATAGTCAATAAAATGCCATAAACATCTGAATTGACTTCTATCACAGAATCTGGATCGATTGCCTTCCCAATGGAACTATTATTGGTAGACAATAAAAACCTTTTACTCTGATCATATTTCAATGTTGGAAATGCTGATGATAAATGGCTTAATTGACGATAGCCATTATAAAGAGTGAATTTGATTGGTACAGTTATAAATGAAGAAATACTTGTACAACTGGAGTTATCTTCATTAAAATCCCAATACGTTGTTGAACCAATAACCAACACTGATTTATTTGGAGCTAAGGCAAGTGAATTAAAAATTTCTCCAGCGAAATTTGTTGTACAGTCTAAACTACCTAATACTATAGACCGATATGCTAATTGTAGACCAGTTTCTAATTCTTCAATTACAAGCAAAGATTCATAAGTGTAAATAAATATACCAGTATCGGAGTCCCATATCAAATTATCAATCATATGATTGAAACAACCAAACCCAACTACTATTCCTTTCATACAATTATCATTGATTAAAGTAAGTTTCAATTGATCTAATAAATTTGGCTTGAATCCTTTCGCAGTATTTAATTTACTGTTAGCATAAACAGTCCAGTGTCGATGAGCTAATGGACAATAGTTATATTGTATATTCAGTTGTTTATTTATTTCACAGTTTTTATTGACGACTTTACCGAAAGTGTTATTATTATTATTAATATTTGTTTCCATAGTATTACATTGATTAATTGGTGTGAATGATTTATTCTCACATTCATATGACAGAAATGGTTGAGTGAAAGTTGAATTTTCTGTTGTTTGTAATTTATCTTTCAACATGTTTACATTGTTATTAGAATTATTTTTCACTTTTAATTCATGTGATCTTTGTGTAGAATCAAATTTCCACATAAATATACTACTTGCTTTCATTTCCTTTGTAATAGTGGTATTATATATCTCAGGTTTCGTGTTAGTTTTCACAAAATGAGGATATTGACACCAATAACCTTTGTCAATACTAATACAATATTGTCCATCTAAAGTTATGTAGAAATTGTCAATTGGGTACATATGACCAGTGAATTTTCGATAAATTATACTTCGATTTAATGTTTTATCATTTTTATCAATACTTTTACTGATATTTTCATATAATGGATAGAGATTAGTTGAACTTATGTATATAAATGGAGTAGATGATTCAGCCAATAATAAAGTTTGCCCATTAGGAGTAATTTTAACAGCATTAACATAAACTGTTGTCTTAGAATTTGATACTACATTAAATTCTGCACAACTGATCAGTTTGCTATCGAATAAGCTGAATTTAAACAGATAACCTTGAGATGTACAGATAAACAAAAACTCGTCATCATTATCATCATCATGACCAGTATCATTGTTATGATTAAGATTTTTAGTTTTATGACATTGAGAGTAAAACTGAATAAAATTTAATGAATTGATTGAGTTATTGTCTTCATTCAATGTTGATTTTGTTTGACTATTTGGAAAATGCTGGAAAAAGATTGAAATTACAATCTTTTTAAAGAAAATCAGTAGTAACAGATATGTTTTCATGTTGAATAAAAATATGAAGAACGTCATAATTCAAACACTATAATCTAAAGCTGTAATTAACTCAAAGGGACAATACATTTCAGACACAAACGGAACTTCATGCAAATGGATATTTAGTATACATAAAATAATACCTTTGTTTATTCTACCTCATTGTTACCATGTTTAACAAAATTTTATAATCACTATTATTGTGATTATTGTCATTTTGAAAAATAAGTATATGTTTGCACTTGTACAGCTATGCAAATGAGTTCACTGAAAATAAAACTTTTCACTGAATAATCTTTCTTATTGTATGTCTCAATGGGTATATTTTGTCTATTATATATGGATCCTATTTCGCAATAGAATACAAATAGAAGATCAATAGGAGTCAAAGTATATAATATTTTACAAATACATCTTTGGAAGAATGATAACTAATTGAACGAGAGAAAAATAATGATTTTTCCAAATAATCCTTGCTTTAACTAGAATTACAAATTACAGAAAACAGTGACTTAGCATACCTAATTCAGGAATAGACAAACACCGTGAATAGAGCTACACCATCTACTGCCTTACACTTGTTTCTTAGAATTTTCTTATGAATTGTAATATCTTCTAATTGATTGTTCTATAACAGACCAGCATTTGATTGAAAGACAGTCATGATTAAATACGTGAAAGTATAAGTATCCGTACTTTTGCAGCGAAAGATTTCCCTGTAAACATTTTAGTAATGCTTCTATTTAATTTGTTTGCTTATGTATTATATAGATAGATAAACAAAATAAAATATATTTCCGCAACACGGGGTGCACACATTTTAGTCAAGAAATGTCCTCTGATTACAAATGAAACAAACGAATAAGCTTTCAAATTAATCGTTTTATATTTTACCAAGAAATATTCCAGTAGCTTAGTACAATCCTGACTTTCAACAATAAAAAAATAATCCTAAAGTCTAATTGAAACTAAGTGACCGATTTCAAATAAATGTGACAGATTGTTATATGTTTCTTTAGGAGCAACTTAATATCTAGTTACTTTTTTTACTTCGAAGTGATTCGATTAAAACTAAACTTAGGAAACAAAAGTTGGGAGATAAGTCTTTAAATCACTGACCATCCTCTTCGTATATAATTTAAACAAATTTTTACTTCAAATGGCAATAACGCTGAGATTGGCTTGATGATAAATTGAATCAAATAGTGAAAACTCACTTGTAATATCAAATGGCTTAAATCAATTTGTTTTACAGTTAAAGCACTAACTCCTTTGGCAATAGTAAGCATATCTAAACGAGGTCCCATATAAGCAATATGTAATCCTTTAGACGATACAGTAATAATACTTTTCCTGATTTCTGACAACACTAAATGATTATCTTGTTTCATCATTGTTAGCATAGGTTTAGTTATATTAAATATACCAATTTGATAATTTAATGAATGAATTAATTGACTTTCATATAATCTCTGTTTATCATCATGTGTAATTTTCCAAACTGCTAGTTGACCAGAACTATCTGAAGTGTACAAATAACTACCACATGGTGAATAAAGTAGAGCTATAATTTTTATTTTTGGGAATGAAGAACAAAAAATATGTTAATAAAAAACATGATTTATACAAAAATAAATCATTCATAATTGTCAAGGGAACAATTATTATTTCTTATTTAGTAAACAGTTTTTCATCTTACTATTTTTCATCGACTTTTCAACCATTACATAACCAACAATCTTTGGATATCTGAAATTTTTGAACATTGTATGAACTAGTCTTTTATTTGGGCTATTGGTTACAGTTCTATGATTTAATGTCCTCAAGTTATTCTCAGTCTATTAGTCACACTTTCTCACAAACATAGTCACTTTTGGCTTGATCTAGTACAAATGTTATTTTCTATTTTATGATGTGATGTAGTTTCATTTGTTTGTATATGAACCCAGTATGTTTCAAATATACGATTCGTATCACGGAGGCTGAGATTGGTGTTCTGAACTTAACAGACAGAGCTAGGCAGAAAAAGGACCAATCAAAACTGTAGGCTGCCAGTACTGGTGTATGCGTCATTATTTTTATTGTATAAGTTAGTGTATCTAAATTGGAAATCGTATTTCGCGATAATCATCTAAGTTAAGGACATAACAATATCTGATTATATAACTAAATGCCCAGCTTTAGTATATGAGAGTGACGAATAGAAAACTTTCTTGATTATCAGAATGCTTTTATTTTGATGTTTGAAAGTAAAATATGTCGACAGGAAATAATAAATTAGTTGAGATTTTTGTATTTATGATGTAAATCCGAGCTCGAGTTAAAATAAAACCATACAAAAGCCTTTGTGATATTACCGAGTACATTTAAATTTCTCTGAACGAATTAAATATGTTGAGAATATTTACACAAATGATCATATCTGAAAAAAAGTTGAAAACAAACATTTTACTCGTACGAAGTATTTTCCATAAGTAATAGAAGCCAGAAAAATCAACCGACAGCCACATAATTCATGTTTCGAAATCACATAAATATACCCTCTTTCTTTGTTGTACTCCAGGAGTGATTTAAACATTCTTCGTTTAAATTAATAATATAGAATTTTCATAACAATTACTTTTTATTTTAGCTCTACCAATCATCATCTCTCTTATGAAATTATCGTAAAACGTTTTAAAGTTTACGTTATACATGTTATTACCAAAATCACTTTAGTATGGAATTTAATATACTTTGTGTTATTTACATATTATTTGATTGATTACTAAAAATAACTACTTAAACAGATATGATTTCGCTTTTGAATATTCATTACGAATCTTGGTTAATGCTAAGTATATTTCTGTACTAAATACGATTGAGAAAGCGATTTATAGACCGTGGACCATATATCAAACTAGGATAATGTCTGTCAATTGTATGATGATGAATTTTAATGCGGAAAACATATTTATATATTCACATGACGTTAAATTAGTGAAGAAAATATGATCTATTAATTACAGACAAGTGGACTCGAATGTGAACAACGATGGGATGGAGAGATATTTTGTCACAGTGTTTGTTAGAATTTGAGTCAAGGTTTATCTGTATAAATAATGCTTAGTTCAAGACAGAAGTACCTACAGACAACATAAAAATGTTCTTTGTTGACGTAAAAACCATGCATTTTTATTAATCATTCAACTGACATTTCTGAATAAGGGAGAAGAATTAGGACGCCATCAAGTTGATTTTAACAGTTATCAAATTCCAGAACTATGAATAAACATCACCTCTTTCTTTTACTTATGTTAAAATCCCAATATTTACATTATCAGACAAATACTGAGACAAGAATTCTTTGGAAACCACCGTCCAGACGAAATCGAAATGTTTTATAACTCTCGAAAAATAAATATTCAGTGAGCACACTGTTTGAAAATGGAGAGTTTAAACATATGATCTGTAAATGAAAATCTAAGGAAGTGTGCTATACTATGGACAAAATGAAATGGTCTCTTTACACATGTAGTTACTTATAAGTAGTCAGAAAATATTATCCAAATTGCATATTAGACTATGTGTACTCAACATAATCGTCATCATCACTGAATGGAATCGCTAAAGAATAAACAATAATTTTTTCATCAATTAGAATACACAAGTTTATTTCATCAGGTATACTGTGAGTCCTTCATAATCTTCCGTATAAGTATATCACATCAGTGCTGCAATACGAATTCTTCAATTAGTCTATGTGATCCAGTAAAAGATCAGTAATACTAATGAAGCTAGAAGCAATTATACAAAACGATTCAGCTAGGCACTTTATCCTGGGGAAAATGGATCACATTATTTGTTCATCTCACTTAGAAGAAGTTGTTCCTTTTAATGCAATTAATACTTTAGGACAGAAGGTTTGCAATTTCTTACCTTACTAGCTTAGTCAATTCTCATCAAAAATAATCTCAAAGGTAAATAACGGATTTAGCTCTCTTAACCTACAGATACAATACGCTAACCACTACCATAATCATATTTCAATAATTGATATACATAATGCAGCATTTTTGTAAATTAATATTAGAATGTTATGATCAGTTTGAGGAATGTGAGGTCTGTTAACTTTCGCACGAATAGTTGGTTTATTAGTCTGACTATCTGACGAGACAAAATATGTACAAATTGGAGATAACCTAATAATTCTGATAGTAAACCGGCACATATAGATTGTTACCAACCTCTAAATTGACTTATCCACAAAATACGTGACTAAAGTACTGAAGAAACTCATCAATCGTACTAGTCATCAACTGATCATCTGTCAATTATGAATAGTTTAAATTAAAAAGGGAATATTTATAGCATCAATGGTTACTTTGTTGCACTGTATAAATTCAATACCTGTTACATCACAATCTTTATGGAAATTTAGTTCATATAACATTTGTGCATTGGCTGGAGAGAAGACACGTACTAGACCAGTTTTAGAATAACCACATGCAATTTGAATCCAAGATATATCTAAATCTTCCAAGTTTAATTCTGACCAATTCAATTTCGGTTGAATAGCAATACAAGCTGGCGTCCCATCCGAAATAATTAAGTCGATTAATGGGTTTTCTACAAGTTCTTTGTTTGTGTAGTTTTCATGAACATTTATTCTTTTCATTTCGACATCTTCAAATTGATTGGTAAAGGTTGGACGAGATGAAATATGTCGAATTCTAAGTCCGCTTCATTATTTTAAAAAAATAAACCAAATAATGAGCTCACCAACAATTTGTCCTTACTCAAACCGATTATTTCCATAAGATTATCATTTTCAATAAACCAAGAACATATTTTAAACATTCAATCGGCCAGGATTTATCATATATTCTTATAACTTAAAATAATTAAAATGATATTTAAAAGAACTTGAAAATTCCATATTACAGTTAAACATTTTTCATCATTTTGATAGGTTGAAAGAAATCTACGACCGACCAAAGCAAGAAACAGCATTAATACACGAAGTTACTGCCTGTTGAACTGAGGCATGTTAGCATATGCAGACCACCTGGTTGAGATCCTCATGATCTTGACCAATCTTTGAAGAATGGGTGACATGGATCAGAATTGATCTTAGATACAGATGGCACAGACTTATTGACTTTTTATCATTCCTTAGATTGTAAAATCTATAACTACCTTTTTTATTGTTTCTTCTCGAATCATATCACCTAATTTTTTGTACTACCACAAATAAAGTTACTAATTCCATGTTGTTTATGAATAACTGATTTTTTCATCATCAGTTAACTAAACCAAATGCAACCAGTTATAGTTCATTCAGATACAAGTTCATATATTGACACAGAAGTTCATTTTGTCAAGAAATATTATTTATTTAAGTTTTATGTGGATCAACAAGTGGAAAATATGAAAAAGAAACTACAAATTATACTCCTTCTAGTAATTAATCATTATCTTAATAAACTAATCATTGGAATGATAAATATTAATTGAAAATCACTGTGAAAGGATTATCAATCACTGGTATATAGTTATAATGTGATGTGTGCTACACATGTCGACAGATATAAGTAGTGTTTAACAACAATCGGAAGTGGAAAACCTGCCAACACAGGGCTAAGAAGATCGAGTTGAGGAAAACTGAAGGGGAAATAGAAAGGAATTGTGAGTTGGAAAAATTATACAAAATGTGAAGGACAATTGATGGAAAATTTGCAAATGAAGTATTGAATGTACTGTTCTCATATTAAACAATAAATTGATTGTCCCTACCTGAGCTCTTATTCATTACTATAATAGTTGAAAAATTACAAATAGAACGAAATGACACATTCAAAGCCATTGCTATACACGAAAGTGGCAATATTTTAAACAATCCTCTGTATTGGTCTTAAATATCCTGGGTACATTAATGTTGAAAAGTACATCTAGTCATCCAATAAGCTTCGTTAGGCATAGAACTAGCGGGAAACCCAGATTTTCACAATTACAAATTAAAAAACATTCTTATATTTTGAGGTAAGTTGATAATATTTTTTTAATTACTTATTTCTCCAAACAGGTATTCACAAAAATATTGAAAATGTAGTCTTCCTATGTATCCTTCCCCAACAGATTAAGGCAATATAAATGGAAAAAATAGGCATTTCATCCTAATTAGGTGTTAAGAACTATCTAACAGCTGTTGTAGATGTGGTTTACTTCAACTCTAAGCGTATTTATACGCAATTTTTTCACAATAAACTGTTTTCTCAAGGAACTCGGAGCAAAACTAACCTAGACGTTTGATGTGTTATATAAGATTTGAAATACATGTCGTAAGTTGATTGTATCACAAACATTACTTTGGTTTGAAGTTATTTTCATGAGATTTCTTGTTATAGCTACAATATTCGTAAAATATTTTTAAATATTATACAGTAAGGTGAAATAAATACATTTTTTAATCTGGAAAAAACGTACCCATCAATACTTAAGGTAGCCAATATACATTGCGATTCTAATTTATCTATATGAACGAGATCTGTGGCTATGATTGGGCCGGAAGCCTGCCATGAAAGAATCCGTCTAGGAGAACAGTTTAATAGTTTAAACTCATTTATAATATCTGTCTCATTATTTTTCATAGAATTTTTATGTAAATCGAATTCGAAATTAAGATCGAGGCAAGCAAGACCGCCAGAACATGTTGCTACAGAAATATAAACTTGATGTTGTGTATTTCTATTTAAAGTACCTTGTTTACTAAAACACGAATCGAGAGCAGTAATTGTCGAAGGATATTTTACTGAAAGAGCAACTGAACTTGGTGAATTACTAGATTCCCATAAAAACAGACGACCATCACTTGTGCACGCGGCTAACCAGCCTAAAGAAAAATTAATTCCCGGAGTTATCCAATGCATAGAGGCTATTGAAACGAGGTTAGACTTCAAATGATTTAGATTATCTGGAAAATTTAAAATCCATTGATTGTTTCTAAATTCTCTAAAAGCTGAAAGTTGCAGTTCGACTGTGCTTGAATGCTCTGTTGATTTTTCTTCTTGCGGTTTTTCAGTTAATTGATACATATTCGAAATACAAAAAAGATTTAAATCGACCTAAAAGAAGGATTGGGAGTTCATTAACTGCAATAGTTACAAAAGACTTATAATATAAACAACTTTTATAATGACACAAAATCATTAATTCAATATTTACTTTCTCTATTTATAAACAAATTGTTGGTTTTGCTATTTATTACTATAGACTGTTGTGTGTGTGAAACAAGGTATTGATTCGTGATATAAACTAATTTTGATTTAAGCCAGTCTTTCTTCTCTCCATTAATTTGGTGCATTCCTTTCATTTGATCAAATAAATTCTCAAACTGAGTTTCTGTGTTGATTCTGTAGGTGTAGCAATGTGAAGTCTGTTAGGTCCAGTCCTAAAAGATATTTTCATGGCTAATCTTGAAAAAACCAAGGTCAAAGGAGCGATTGGTGAAATGGTGTTTTATTCAAGGTATGTCGATGACACCATCGTATGTACTAATCAACAACATGCAATAAATCTGATGAAGCGTTTCAACGAAGCTCATAAAAATATCTAGTTTACTATGGAACGTGAAAATGAAGACAAGTCCGATTTTCTCGATATCGCAATAAAACGAGGGAAGAATAGCACGTTCCAGCTTTCAGATTATAGGAAAGACACACGGAATGGGATTTATCTCACTTTCAATAGCTTCTGTCCAATCACTTACAAAAAGGCACTTGTTAAGACACTATTTCGCAGATCAGAAAGAATATGTGCTGTCGATACACTAGAAGGTGAACTAATGAATGTTAAAGGGTGTTTTACGATCAACGGATACTTACTGGAATTTAGTGAGAAATATGCGAAACGTGAAGATGAAAAACCCAAAGAAACTACAATAAACAAAAAACCTATTTTTATTCAACTTAAATTCAAAGGTGATGATGTGACAGGGTCAATCAGTATGAGACTAAAACTGCATTGACAAGGACTTGTTCTGCAGCTAGACTGATTGCTTTGTCCAAAACAACATGTTTTTTAACACAATCAAAGATCGATAACCCTTTCAGGTATGCCACCATCAACTGTGTATACAAGTTCACATGTATTTGCCAAAGCAGTTAAATTGATAGAAAAGAAAGGAGAGCCTACGTCCAATTCAAGGAACATATCATTAAAAGTCGAAGATCACGTGGATTGAAAGTATTCAGTAGTACCATCTCTTTGATACAGGACATCAAGTGGTTACACTGAAGTCTTTCAAGGTTTTCCGTCTGACCTACTACATAAAGAGATTGCATGCTCTTGGGGTTACTCGTCATTTACTCTTACAATTTGTCAATCCTTGCATATTACCTATTATTCTCCATTATTCTTTCCCGGGCTTTTGAGAAAAGACTTTGCTGTATTGCGGAGAGTGCTGAAGGCAGTTAGCAAGATGTGTGGTGAATCTTTCGAGGTCATAAGTAATATGGTTGTGGATAGACATTTAAAATCATGCAAACTCCTGGCAGGTGTCATTTTATCAGATACTAGCCATCCCCTTCACTCTTATCTTTCTCCTTGTATATCTTCTGGTAGAACGAGACGTAATTACATTAAAATCCATGCACGCAAGGAAAAGTACAAATGTTCTATAATACCTTATCTAGCAAATATACTCTGTGACGAACAGGTTGTTAAAGTTAACCTAGCCAATAACCTGCATTCTTAACGTGCCTTTAATTTTAAAAGTTGTACAGTTTCTCGGTTTTTTTAGAAAAACCTTTTTTTGTATTTGTTACTGTGTTCTTTTGTTGTTGTTGCGTAAGTAACTTGTTGAAGTACCGTGTGCTGAGAATTCTATTCTGTACCAAAATATAATATTGAATAAGGCCATTAATAATAATAATAATAATACTGTAGCTAATAAAATGGGGTCCTAACTTCGAATCAACTGACGAAACGCCGAGGAAACTATACAATGAAATAACTGTTACCTAATAATAATAAAGTTAAATGATGCAATTTTTACACAGTAAATAGGGTATTTATACCAATGAAGTAACACGATCACTAGTTCTGTGTTGAGATAAAACCGATAGTTTCGGCCTCCCATTTACGAAAGATTATATTAGTTTAGTGTTTATCGAAATTGGCAACAGTTAGTCTAAGAACAACTATAATCAAAAATAAATAAATAGATTGATAGATTGATAATTACCTCTAAAATATGTCCTGTAGAAGAGCCAACTAGTAGTGAATAATTCAACTTATTACAAGACTGATTCAGATTTTGAAATTGAGGTTTAATGCAACAACTCACAAAATTTAGTGATTGACGTAATGCCGGAACAGTAAGTGAGGCTAATGAAACAACTGAGGAAGATAAATGGTACTTGTTTTTTAATGTACCATTGAATGAGATTCCACATTTTTGAACGGTATCTTGTCTTAATGATGCATATTTAAACCGCCATAATCGTATTTCACTAAATGTATTCTTTTTCATACCCTGATATCTATCTGGTATATTCCAGTCCATTGTATTATGTGAAGTATTAAGTCCAGATACAGTAGCAAATCGTATAAAAGAGTCGGGAACATCATTTTGTTTATAGTAATCTGGTAGAAGGCAAAAACAACTAATTGTATTGTCAACCGTTGAACGGATTAATAATGGTAATACACTACTATGAAGAAGATTCTAAACAGGAAATTAAAAAATGCAAATTGAATAAAGTTTAAGCAAACGCAAATAATATTTACAAAAGGTTTAATTACTGTATTTAAATATCACATAATTATCATTATGTGAAAATGACATTCCATGTATCTAGTAAGCTGATCTAGTTGTGACTGTGTGGGTTCAAAAGAATTTATTTTAAGTTATAGTGAAAAGTAAAAGAAGCATTAGAAAGGAATTGACATGACAGATATAACCCTAAAAAATAATTTTTTTCTAGGTAGTCCTAATCATTCTGATTTACCTCTTACAATCATTATGACTAATGATTCATAATAACTGCTTCAAGACTAATTACTCTACATTGATCTGACTTCCATTTGGTCCATACAATCTTCTCCCCAACCCTAATTTATCACCCTCTAGTCAGAATCTAAAAAGACTCCTTATAATAGTGTTGCACCTTAACAAACCTCAAAACGGTTGATCTGTCTTTATTTCAAAAGGCTTTGAGATATAAATCTGGCTAAAGTTATGTATTCTTCTAAAATACATACATTCACATTGTGAGAGTAAATTTAGTTTAAACGCATATAGGATGTGAACTCAATAACTGGTTGTTTTTAATTTTGCTGAATATCTAAAAGTATATATAGTTTACTACAATCTGTTGGATCAATTTGTATAATTTTCGGGGTAAAAATGCAAGTCAGTTAGAGTAACGTTTTACTGATATTTACACAGCATATATGAGATTTAAATGGTTCATTGAATTTCGAACTAACGAACCTAGAAAGTAGACATCAAACAAAAAGTTCAAATCTTATGTGGAGATGCTAATTCCTCATAATTTGGTTTGAACGAAAGTTGAAAGATTTGTACACTTAGTATATTGATATTTAGATTAGTATAATCAAAAACTATTGATTATCGGTATTCGATTCTTTAAACTAATCTAGACGAGTAAATCAGAATTACTTAAAAATCCATAACAGAACGTCATTTATAGCGTTATCGAAGTTTAAGCTAAACAACTGACCACTGTTCCAGTTAAATTCTATAACAAAATTACTTATTAATTAACTTACCCGTAAATCCCACACAACTATCATACCACGTGAGCGAACATCCATCCCGTAAGCAATTAAAAATTCACCTCGATCTGAAATACATAAACCTTTCATAGAATGAGCATTTTGGACCCTTCCTGTTCCCAGTGGCTTTTGAATATGCAGTGAAGAATGAAGTAAGTTAGGCATACGCCAGACATGAACAACACCAAGGCATAAGTTAATAGAACTCAATGTTGAAGATTGACAAGAAGCAATAATTTGACCATCTGCATCTTGACAAATGCCACTTACTTCAGCAGTGTGACCTAATTCAATGAAAAGTGAATTAATGAAGTTTTGGTGACCTCATACATCATAAAGCTGAGTTGTGAACCATGAAAAAGATTTTTAAGAACAAACCACAAACAGGTCTATCAATAACAAAATGTTTTGACCAATAAATAACTCATGCACAGTTTGGATTTCTATTAAGCTTGTGAACTAACACTAAAAAATTGAATGTTATGAAAAATGAATGTGATGAGGAACGAATACCTAACAGAAACTAACCTTCTAGGAAGCATTGACGCCTACTACCAACCTCCATTACAATAAGATATGCTGCACAAGGAAAAATAATTACACAACCATTTTGAGTGATGATTAAACTTGTACAATATGAAGGACATGAAGCGACATAAACCAAGTCGAAAGACATGTCGTTAGCATTATTCTCAATGGTTTGGTTAGATATATTTGTAAATAGCACGTGAGCACCGTCTGCCTGTAAAACACTCATTTCGTGATTTAGTTCATCCGTACTTGACATCTACAATTATGTGATCATTTTTGGAAAAAGATAATAAATAAGTACATTGATCAACTTCACTTTGTTAAATATTAAACCCATTTAGTGAATGTCAATGCGTTAAAGTGTAAATTTAATCAATTTAATATATGGAAGAACTCCTAGTTGAGACAAATGAGAATTTCTTATTAACCAGACCAATGAAATAATCATGAGTCCATAAAACCTTACTTTATTACTCATGCTTATCAAACTCTGTATTTATTACTAGAAACTTGATTACAAACGTTTTTCATAATTGCATAAGTATATATAACTCGAAGTCATATAGAGAAATATCGATAACGTTGATTGTCAACCCCATGTAAATTAATATGCAGTTAGTTTTTTCAAAAATCTATATAATTTATCTAGCTCTCAAACGTTGAAAAAAGTAGATGAGAATGTTCACGTACTCAGAATGGTTAGAAATGGAAAGGTATGGCTTTAAATTTGCAAGTTACCTTCTACTTTTAATTCTGAGTTCGTTGAAGTCAAACAATTACAAATAGCTAGTATTAAGGAAAACAAAAGACATGATGATAACTTTATAAGATTGATACTAATAATGATTTCGCTTAGTTATGACTAAATGAAGAATTAAAAATAAAATGAAAGTTGAAAATAATATTGTAAATTTTTGAACTTTCTTACCTCATAATCATCCCTAACAATATTTTCCCTATGTTTATGTACATTTTCCAACGTGTTTGGCCCTGTTAAATGTGGTGATTGCCCACAATTCTTGTTTTCAGCACTTGATAATAAATTTATATTTTCAGTCGTTTTCGTATTTCCAGTATTTTTCGCTTAACAAAATACATCGACAAAATTGAGGGGTATTTAAAGTGTGAAGATATTTTAAAGACTAAGATAAATAACTTGTATTGAGTTCCATAATTCTTCATCAAATCTAAATACCTTCAACATACTTGATGTCTCTTACTGAAGAAAATGATTGAATTCTTCTGCTTGTACTGTTACTTGTTGCTGTCTGTTGTCGTTTTCGATCCAAAAATAGGAGAGTAGAAAGTCCTTTCACTGAAACAGAACATTCTACGTACTAGTTTGAGTAATTCTGCCTTCAAATGCGAAGCTTAATTCGCATCTTTCGAGACAACTCATTTAAAACCGCAAGATAAAAGACTACTGAGAAACTTTTGAAATGTGTATATATGGCCATTCTTTTAATACAAAGTATGAGACTAACTCATCTTTAGTGTGGGTCGAAGAGGAAACACGATAAACGTCACGCTACCAAAGCTGTATCATCAAATTCAGACTACGTTGAGTAAGAATTTTCAAAGACACTGTTTTATTTACTTGGCATTACTATGACGAAAAGCCGAAGACTACTACAAAGATTTCCCGAGCACTGGTCAAGTAAATCATCAAACTAAACCGTTTCTACGTCAAATGGGAGATCAATAAATGTTGAAAAGTTTACCGAAAATCCTTAATTTCAAGAATAACAAATATGGACTAACTAATCGCATGCGCGCCATCTGAAAAGCACAGTGATATTTTTCCTCGCTGAGTTAATTTTATTGTTTTGATCGTTTACAGTATATCACGATTACTGTTTTCGCTTCACTTTGTTATAATTTCTCTTTCTACGACCCAGCTACTCCTATTTCTTAGTACTCTTGGACACTAACTCGCTCGACAAGTGCCCAAATCAGAACACAGTTAAATAGGGAAGAAACTATATTCCAAATAATAAGGGTAGATGGAAGTAGGAATTACAATGAGAAAAACGTCATTATATGTATAGTTTTTACACGAGATTCTGGAGTCTTCTTCAAGTATTCACTAGCGCTGATTGGTTAAGAAGTAGCCAATCGACGTGTACCAACACAATCCTGCAAGAAGCATGCTTTAATCCTATCTATATTCTGCTTACACAGTTCATATAATCCCCAACAGTATCGTTTTTTACGAGAGTAATTTATCATCTGTACTTTTGAGTAAGTTGGTTCTTTATACATTTATCTGAACTTTTGTGACTAACAATTTACAGATTTTCACTTTTTTCTGGTCATTAGTTTCTTGTCTTTGGGTATTGTTTGTGTTTAATTTCTCTTCTAAAACCTCTGACTGGTGACTGGACAGTGTAAAAAACGATTACCAACTACCAGGCTGTCGATACCCTATGAAAAATGGCATGCAGTGCCATGAGTGCAAAGAATGGTACAACCAAGTTTTCACGAATTTAACGCCTGCGGTTTTCAAATGGTTTAACAAAAGTACTTCCGTGTGGTTGTGTCAGTAATGTGCCTCGGATGCAAACACATTGCTATCTGAAGCAACTGAAATGGTGAATGCTGCTAAAAGGAGTATTAGCAAGCGTAATTTAGACCCATCAAATGGTACTCACTCGGTCAATACACTGATCTATGTGAAGTTACCTCAAGTAAGCTCAAAGTCGATTGACTTACACGGACGGACGGAGGAACGACGGCCTATAAAGAGGTCTGTTAGAAATACAAGCTCAAGAAAGGAAATTTCTTTTGTCCGCCAACCCCCGAATGGTAGTGAGTATAAAATGCCTAGAAAACCTAATCTCAAGACTGGGTCTGTTCCTAGAAGGAAAAACAACAACCCGACTTCCCAAGTCATTGTCAATCATCTAGGACTCCACAGTGTTTGCAACGTGGCTGTGATTGCTACCCCAATGAAAGTTGATGAATGGTTACAGATCAAGAATGAGAAACGACCTAAGGTTGCTAAAGAAATGTCAGTCCCCCAAACTGTAGCTGAGAAATTGAAGATTGATCATAATGACAGGTCACTTGTCTGTCATAGAGTCAAAGAGAGTGAAAGCTCAGAACCCAGAACTCGTTTTGAGCATGACATTGAGTTGAGAAAAGAGCCACTAAACCAGCTAATGCTTAAGAAGTTCTCTGGAATCACCTTGCTAAATGTTTATAGACTAGGTAGCTTAATGGACTTGGAGCAATCAAACTAAGCTAAAGATATCAGGAGCTTTTGTTTATAAGGACTTGCGACTCGCGGACCGTGTATAAAGGCGAGAAGCTGGAGAATAACTAGAAATAAGGTCAGATGCTGGAGAGAAGAACCTTGAAGATGTAGATTTTTGGGTGGTGAGGCTTTGATAGAGAATGATTCGTAAGCCACTTTGGACTCAGCACGAAGCCATCTAAATGGTCTTCGGATCTGTAGGTTGGAGAATGTTGGTCGGCGGCCTATGCTCCATCGGGAGTAACAGGCGTAAGTAAGTAACTAATGATCTATTACACAAATGCTCGAAGCTTTCTCGACAAGAGATTTGAGCCAGGTGTACGGATAGACTCTACCAAGTCGGATGTAATAAAATTCACATAAAATTGGCTGATGCAGTCTGTAGATAGTGGGGAACTTGAGTGAGTGATATTTAAGCAATCAACATTTTAGCTATAGTCTGTCATGTGATCTAGTGATCATAACGGTACAAAGAAATGTTTGAATTGTTACAATTCAAATAAAATTGTCTGTTAAGTAAATTAATAAAAGGGCATGACCTAAAATTGGTTATAAGATAGTTGCTATAAGACAATAATACTGCATCATTAGTGGAGGACGATCATAGCAAAGCTCAGGTATTATCAAATTACTTTAGCAATGTATATATCGTAGAGAAAAACTACAAATCACCGGGCACAGATGAAATACCTCCGGCTCTTTTTAAAGATGGTGGTGACTTTCTGACTAAGGAACTGATAACGTTGTTTACAAAGGTCTGGGAGCTAGAGAGTGTACCAACGTCATGGAGTGAGTCGATAGTTGTCCCTATCTTTAAAAAGGGTTCACATCTTTCCTGTAACAGCTATCGGAGGATAAGTCTACTTCCGATTGCGTCCAAGCTATTGGCTTCCGTCATACTTTGTAGGTTGTTAAAAACCCGAAAAAGATTGACTCGCGAGGAGCAGGCTGGGTTTCGTTCTGGTCGAGGGTGTATTGATCACATCTTCACCCTCCGCCAAATGTTAGAACACCTCGACCCATAGACCTAACCAGTGTGTTTGATTTCAGAAAAGATTATTCGGAAGGATTTGTTTAAGCATCTGTACGAAAACCTAATTCTTTCTGAAAAGTAGCACAGCTTTAGAACAGGTCAGTTCTGTTTCACTAACTTATTGGTAGCCCGTGAAAGTTGATGCGCTCTTAAAGACCAAACTTTATCTATATATGGAGCTTACATTGACTTCAACAAAGCTTTCGACAGAGTTCCTTACAACAGGCCGTTATGTAAGTTACGCAATGTCAGGATTGGGGGCAATTCATTATTGTGGACAACAGACTTCCTAGTTTAGCGTCAATAAAGAGCACGAGTGAACTCAAAGTTGCTAACTGGGAAACTAGGCTTGACGGACTGCCTCAGGGTGCAGTTTGGGGATCAGTGTTGTTCCTCCTGGGTGTAGGTAGTCTTCCTGGTCTCCTATGATCACTGGTTTTGATATATGCTGACGATGTCAAGATATGGAGGGCGATAAAAAGTAAAAGTGATAGTTTGGAACTTCAAAATGATCTGGTAAAGTTATCTGAGTGGTCAAAAATTCGGCAGTTGCCGATAAATGCTCCCAAGTGCATTATGATGCATCTTGTTCACCAAGGTACATATACATACACTGTGAATTACAGTGAGCTACTTGTTGTCATGACACACAATGACTTAGAAATCATTGTTAACCTACACTTAAAGACTAATCCACACTGTCAAGCATTGGCCCTGAAGGTTTTAGAACCCTGTGGTCAACACGTAGGGCTCTTAGTCATGTCGATGCTGAAACCATTTTGACTTTGTATACAGTATTCGTTCGTCTTAAACTCGAGTACACATACAATTGTCTAACCGCTGCCTAAAAGAGACAATGAGTTGTTGGGTAAAGTTCGAAGAATCGCAACTTAGCTGACTTCTGGAATGCCGGAGCTTCTGCGTGATGTTTGACTGGCAAAGTTAAACCTATATCCACTGTCATATAGAAGAATCAGAGGCGACTTGATCACAGTTTTTAAATTACTTAGTGATAAGTTTGCATCTGATGTGCCCTCACTTTTCTTGTCTTCTGAAACAGAGAGTTTATGAGGACACGCCAAAATGGTTCGCAAGCCCAGAACAGATTATTTGTCAGCTGACTATCGACTTTCCCATCAACTCGTCAACGAATGGAACACATCATCTCAACACGCGATTGAACCTCCATCTGTCGACACTTCCGAAGGAAATTTGGATCAACTGAGAGACTACCACCGCCAGAATCAACATATGCCACCTAGCCTCCTGTCCATTCAAAACTGAGGCTGAAATCATAGGCTGGCCCATGAAGCACTGTCATCGCTCCGTACTGTTCCTATCTGTGTGTAAAAAACACAGACGATGCTTCCAGTAAGGCTTTACTTGTTTTACAAAATCAATAGAACAACCGCACCACGTGGATATTACATCAGAGTAATCCAGACAAAGTATTAACCCCGAAATGTGTTTTTGAAGTGGGCTATATAGTCAAATCATTCCTGTTCAACACCAAAAAACTCGCTGTTCATATAAGTGACCTACAATTTCTTCAGTAACGTGACTTACAATTCCTATTAAAAACCGGTATCTATGGCAGCACAAAAAGTAAAGTAGTGTAATTAAAATATTTCAAAACCTACACTTTGAGTCCGCAGTCAAGCAAGTAAAGTGGGTATATTTTAAATTGTGTACCAGTTCATTATGAAAAGTCACCTAAAGATATGTATAGAAAGGGCTCTAGTGTTCTGTTAATGATAATCAAGCTAGTAAACATTCATCTAAAGTAGTCATCTAACTGTTTAGTATATAAACAGAACAAACAATTTGGACGCGAACCATCGACTCTCTATGTTATTTAGTATTTAATTACAAAAACATTTATGGAAATATTGTGAACGATATTCAACGAGTAAAGGGAAACTGTAGTATCTTCAGCATTCAACCGCGATCTAATAAACTTAAAGTGGGGTCCCGTTTTTCTCGAGTAGTCAATGATTGGAACGCCTTACCCGAACAAGTGGTATCAGCTCCATCAGTGAATATTTTCAGGGAGGAACTGACCCTTCACTGAAAAACAATCTGTCAGGATTAACACAGGTTCACCAACCTACTATCCCTATTACTGAAGAATGATTTGGATTTAAAAAATTATATATCTGAGATAGAGGAAGACGATAGAGAAAAAGGCGTACCGCAAAGCGTAACTAAGTGAGTGACTAAATGCGTGTGTCAATCCCACAAAACAATGGTAAACCAAAGCTTAACAGTAGCGCAAAAAATCAATGTTTACAGACACTTTAAGGCCCAACAATGAATATTGGTCCTCTTCATAACAGTCGCTTACTAAATATGTGAGCAGTATATTTTGAAGTAATATCACTATCAACATATTATTGATACAGATAAATAAAAAGACCCACATACCCTCGAAGTCTTCAGTCCCATCTTCAGGTATGGTAACTAGTTCAAAAGTCTCATATAACTTTTGTAAATTTAATACAGGTTGAAACTCTTTTGGAAGTGGGAGAACTGAATTTTTGAGCATATTCTTTTTCCTCACAACAAATGGTGAATACTTATTGTCAGATGTAAATGCTGCATATATTAACAAACTACAGCATAGTTGTAGGCGAATCAAGCTATGGTAATGATAGTTGGAGTATTTATTAATGATTTTACGAAGATCAAAACGCAAAATGACCCATTTCGGTTCTTCTAAATCTGGTGAAGCAGTCAGCGATGGCAAAGGAAGACAAAGCGACAAGTTTGAAACTTTAGGAAACCTTACAGCATTCGTCACTGTTACGCGGTAGGCAACCGTACTCTCTGTTCTACAATCAAGTCTAATAAGAAATTTCTTATTCTTTACTGGCTTGAAAATTAGATACAGATATTCGCCAGTAAGGCTTAAATTACACTTTTCATTATTTGGAGTTGTGATATGGTTTACTGCAGTGACTAAACCATCTATTAGCAACACCTTAGATTTGATAGTAGGATCCTGAACGAAAATAATTAATCTGTCACTGTTTGCCTTACCGTTACAAAGCACATTTCGTTAACATTTCCCCGTTTTTTCCATAAGGAAAGTGGGTAGTGCTTCATTATATTAAAATACGGATTTTGAGGGCACGTCATTTTCTTAAACTCTGATCTGGCATTAAAACTGACCACAATGGTATTGTTGACATTTTCGTAAAGCGATCGACTATGAAATACTATAGAGAGTGGTGCATTAAAACACCTCAAATTTCAGCCTTTAGAAAGGCAACATATGTTGTAAGTTTAATGATCCTTTTACTTAATAATTACCTCCATGTCTGAATTTAATTTTCATACATAATTTATCTCAAATGTATATAGTTGCTTCGATCATGTCAAAACAAAGGTATGGAATTCTGGTTCAGGTTCATAAAATTTAGTGAGCCTCTACACGTACATAGCGTCCCGAAACTTTTCAGTGATATTTAAGCACTTTGAAGTTTTAGCCTGCAAAATCCAAAGGAGCTGAATTTGAATAGATCTTCCGGCATACATAAAAACCAACTCAAAATCCTTACATAAAATAGAAATCTTTTAGTTTTTTTTGCCGATCCTTTAAGAAACTCATTTTTTGAATTCTGAGTTGAAATGTAAATTAATTGTCTTGATATGTTGAGAGATACTAACGGCTGTTTTGTTATTGATGTATGCAAGGACAATTTATCAAACGATATTGCTTTATACTGCGGACAATCTTTTCATCAGACCGTCATCTGATTTGATTATTTTTCGGCTTTATAAATGTCATCTGTGCCAGTATAATTTCGATATTATCCTCTAATTAGGTTGATTTTTGAAAAAACGGTTGCTATTGTGCTGTGGATGTATTGTAAGGGGTAGCAATCAGGATGAGTTTCTGTATTGAGTCGTCGATAATCACTAGTTGGACGCTAACATTTGTTATTCAATTTAAGGACTATATTCAAAGGGGATATCCATACGTTATTTGATGGTTGGATTGTCCTTGACTATATCATATCATCATATAGTAAAAACAGGGATGAAGTGAAAGTAGTTATTACTCAGTAGTTTGACTTCAGCAAACCATTTGATAAAGTACAGCACTTGTCTCTACCATTTAAGTTAAAGACATTTGGTGAAGCAGGTAAAATGAACAAATAGATCTCATCTTTCCTAAAGAATAGAACCCAGGTGGTGAAAACAGAGCAACCTTTCTCCTACCTTCGGAACATTGATACTTTTGTCCTCCAGGGCTCAGTCATCGGACTCCAACTGTTCAGTATGTACATTAATAACATATACAGTTACTTTACACTTGACAAAGCCTTTTTATCTGCCGAAGACCCTGAAGTTCTGTATACATTCTCTTCAGTTCGTAGTCTAGATATAAAAAGTATAATAAAGATCTGGGTAAAATCCGAAACCGGTCTGAGGAATAGATCCTTCCTCTTCATACTCAAAGATTTGGTACATGCATTTTGGTAAGCTTAACTCACAGATAAGCTTGTATATGAATAAGCTGAAATTGAGAAAACTAAACAGCGTCTGAGATTTGGGAGTGAAATATCCCAAAGGTCTTACATTCACTGGACTTCATGGCTCTTAGACTTACTAAGTTTATCAGTCACAACTTCCAGTTCTAGGGATGTAATATGATTTTCTAGAACGTACATAGTTGATCCCTAAAAGTATACTGAAAGTCCTTGTCCGATAAGATAAAGAAATTGCGACGTTACTTTGCATGACTTATTACAGCTGACCTATCTTATAAAGTTAGGTCTGAAACATGAAAACTGTATCCCTTATGGCTTAGACGAATTAAACTTGCATTTACACAACTTTTCAAATTTCTGTATAATAACTCCAATGTACATTGCGTTGTTTTAGTTTGCCGGTATCATGACATTTCATGAAAAATATCTATAACATCAAGCAAATATGGTATTTGTACTAACTGATGATTCCTGCGAAATTAATTGTGCGCTTATTACGAATTCCAAATATAGTACGTTCATTTGTGTGGATCTAGTTCTACTGCATTGAATTGCACTATTTCGGAAATTCTTAGCACATTAATTGGAATAAGTTTCATTGGTATACTGGTGTAGCGATGTAGTCAAATCTTGGACAAACGGATGTTATTTCAAATGAGGATATCCGTGAAGACTAGATATTGCAGTTCGAGTTATTGGGGGTGGCTAAAAAACATGTTAAAATTTATAAATTAGCAGCTTCTTCCCCAACATCCACTGGCAAAATAGTGTATAGGCAGCTAAAGAATCCCGTTTATCTAGAGAAACCAATTTTATTGTCATGTGGTTCTCTCAACGAATTACTGATTAGCCATGTGCAGTGTACTAGCTTTGAATGAATAGCGAGATCAAAGTTTCACAAGGTGTTGTGGCAGAATGACCGTAAGCTAAAGACTCGATGCTTGGGATGGTGAAGATTTGTAACTCAGGTGGATGATTTTGATTGAGCTTTGTTCTTTGAGTTAGATGGTTTGGCCGTGGAGCTTTCATTGTTCTTCTGAACGCCATTATCAGCACAAACTTCAAGCAGAAGTGAAGTGTTCGAATTTCTCCACATGCGGCTCACAGTTTGTTCTGTAAACCTCGATGTTGATTGGTTCGTGTTGACCTTAAACCTATCATTATTTACTTCTTTATTTTAGTTGCGTCTCCCATTAGTTTGATTTTTTGTCCTATGTTTGTCCATAATTTTTCTGATAGGTTGATAAGTTGGATCGATTTTAATGTGTTTCTTCATTGATGATTGATCTGAGTGCCAAGTTTCTAAAAATTTCCTGATATTTTTAGGATTCCCTTTATCCAAGATCTTCAGATTTTTCAGTCGATTTTGTGTCTATAGTTTTCCATATGCATTGATATATCCTCACTTATAATACATTGTTAAGTTGTCGTAATGAGTTACATTATCAAGCCCATGTATGGGTAATAATCGTTCCCATAGTCATAAAATCACGGAAAATCATTCAACAAAGAATTTCAAATCAGGTTACAGGTGAGCACAGGTTCAGTGAGTGCTTGTCCTGTGGCGAATTTCACTTGCGTAATTTATGTGTCTTTCGTCATGCTAAATGCTTTAAGTGTGCTTAAATGGGACACATGAAGTTGGTTTGCAAAGCTACTGTCCACTTTGCGACTAGTGATGATGAACCATGAAGTCGGGATTTCACCCACGACTTCGAAGGGTAATTTCCATATTCAAAGGCGTTTATTTACCACCCTATGTTCATTTCATGATTTGATTGTTACCACATGCCGTATTGAGTCCATTATTTCATTCAAAAAGCTAAAATTACATGTTACAGCACGACCCACTGAAGTCCCAGTATAGAGGACTGCTGGACAAATACCACTTAAACCAGGATGCTGCAGGAGCTATTTAAAGATTATATTTCTTCATGTACGACTTGTGAATTTTTCGTTGGTGAAACAGGACCATGAACAATGGGTTTAGAAAATTTAGAAAGGCTTAAAATGGATATGCAATTATTATTTTATAAAAAATACTCTGACGCTTTATTTGAAGATTTGATAGCTGCCTGTGCCAAGTGCAGAGAAGAAATGTAAATTCAACCCATAAACTTTCAAGTACATAGTGATCTAGTCTTTTTAATTGACGAATAATTCCTCATTGTCTTTGGGAGCCAATACATAAGATATTCAACGATTTGTGTGTGTAACGCATAATTGAACCGATCCCGTCTTCAGCGTGGTATACTTCTATTGTTACGCGGCCGAAGTCTGATGGCAAGGCTCCTAGAGTATGTGGTGACCATAAACTAACACTAATCTCCCGTTCATTGAGACAAACGTACACTACGGTAGAAGCTGAAGATATTCTTAATTGACTTCATAGTTCTAAGGTATTCTCGAAAGTTAACTTAAAACATGCTTATTCTCGAATTCACTTGGATTAATTTATTTTGACGTCAATTAATACCTTTCACTTGTTAAAATAAACTTCCTTCCATTCGGTTTAAGCTGTTCACTGACCATATTTCAGGAGGTGATGAATGACATGGTTAGTAACCTTATAGGTGAGGAAGTTTATCAAGTCCATCTCATTATACATGGTTCGGATAAAGCAGCTCATGGTCCGGATAAAGCAGTTCATGGTCCAAGAATTATTGTTTTACTGAGTCATTTAACCGAGGAGAATATTACGGTGAATCCAAATAAGCGTTGATTTTTTGTATCTAGCTTATGGTGCTTTGAACACCTAGTTGATGGTAACGGTTTTAAGGCTGATATAAAAGCTCCTAGCTCCACTGACGTATGCAGCATCTCCAAAAAGACTTACAGAACTCCGCTCACTAGTGACTGCATGTTATTTGTGTCCATAACTGACCAATCGAATCATTTCTTAAAAACCTACCATGTCAATCTGGTCTGATGCGACTGTAGACTATCCCTTTAAAATGTGACCTGCCAATTGAAGGACATTATTATCCCATATATCAATGTGAATCATAATTTTTATTCATTTGGATAAAATACGCTATACCGATCTATA